AGAGAGGAATTAGATAAAAAACTCACTCGTTACACCGAGATCTTGAGATGAGAGATTGAAAGTGCATACCCAGTCAAACAAGAACGCCGCGACCTCGGAGAGAGAAAATGCAGCCCACGGATCGAGCGGCAGAGGAAGTAGGATTGTCTGTGTAACAGTTGAGGAGCAGAAGAGGAGAAAGCGTCGGGTAGGAAATAAAGACGCAGAAAGTCAACAAGTGAAAGGCAGGACAACCACGGGAAACTCAGGGTTCACTAAAGAGCCCACAACAAAGAGTGTGCATATGGGGGTTTGCATTGAAATCGGGGAAAAGCGGAATAAGTAAGGCGAGACTGTCGCTGTGAGCACCGAGAATCGCGGAAACTTAGGCGTCAGTAATCTCGGCTCCAGATGTTAGGGCGGTGCGGGGGGATCAGCGGAGTTTCAAATTTGAGGCAGAAAATGATGCCAAAACAACCGCGAGATCACCGCCCTAACATCTGGTGCAGTTTGATCGTAAAGGATGCGATCCGTGATGGAAGTCACGGACGTCACAACTCGTACTCCAGACGCGTCGCGACTTTTAGGGCACACAGTACTTGTGATATGAGAAAGGTCAGGTGTAATAGACTGGTTGGGATATACTCAATGCTTCTGAGGCTTCAAGGTGAGCCAAGACACCGAATATCTATGAAGAATCATGTATTTCCCCAATAAAATGGGGTAAAAGGGATGAATCTATCGACATGAAGCATGAATACGTGATCTTGGCAGTGTAAAACAACCAATCTGATTTCTGAAAGTATCCCAATCACTTTGAGGCCGAAAGACGCGTTATGGATCCATATTTGAGAGTAAGATTAAAAAGTACTTCAGTCCAGTGTACTCCACAGGTCTCCTAGAGACCTAAAACATAATGCAGAGCAGTTTATGGGTGAATGTAATGCATCTGGGGATGTTCTCTCAAAGTCTTGACATCTACTGGGGTCAAAGAGTGCATGAAGGCCTCCCATATTGCTCAAGTCACTGCGCCTCAAATAAATCATATTAAATTTCCCATGGTATGCCCAGAGCCTTCAGGAGTCGTCCATATGATATATTCAAAGTTTCATGGCCATCGGAGCAACAGAGGATGAGAATTAAAAAGAAAAGTACCGGAGAGTCAAAGTGTGACACGATCGCACCCCTACCAACCAAACTGCACCAGACGTTATAGGGCAGTGTTCCCCAATCAAATTTTCATCAAATTCTGCCTCGGAACAATTTCCGTGGATCCGGTATCTCCGGTTGGATATACCTTCTCCTCCTGCCCGCGAGCGCAGCGAGCGACTGCCCTATAACGTCTGGAAACGAGACTAAGGCGTCAGCAAACGCGGCGGCAGCGGCCAGACGGTCGTCGTACTGGGGTGGATTGCCGTCGGAGGCCGAGGACGCCGACATACTGGATCGTAGCGTCGCATTCATCACAGTTCTGAGGAAGGAGCAGCCCGGATCACACTCCGATCACACGGCGGCAAGTGATCCGCCGAATTGATGCCGCGGTTCCGAGTCTCCTTGTCCCGAACCGGCGAACCCTCATGCTCTAGTCCGCTGGTGCATTCTGCTGGCCGGATTCTTAACATTTGGTCCGCATGTATCGCTATCCTCGTTCTGCCGGTGCTTATCGTCCTCTCTCACCTTTGGTAATTTAGGGCTGCCTCTGCCCCGAGGATAGTCCTAGCCCCGCCCATTGCGTTCTCCACTCCCTCCCCGGAGGATTTGGAGCGCTCAGTTTACACGGAATGCCTGCGCAGTTACTCACCGAGACGGCACAGCCGCTGACGGGGCCGATTAGTGAGTGGTACAACAAGTTTTACGACTTCGAGGGGTATTTGAAGGAGACGGTCCCGGACGTGTGCGTCCTGGCCTTGATTTTCCTGTCGCTCACTAATATCCTAAGTTTCACGGCCCTCATGCTCAAGCACTTTCCGACGCACAGGCTATTGATTGTTGACACGGAAGGGGAGCGATCCATCTCCGCAGCCGATCGGTGTATTCTCCTCAGCAATGCAACAAATGAACTAACGATGAGTCTCATCGCGTTTCTAGTGTTCATAGCGCATCAAGTCACTTCGTTCCTCGCAGAATCGCCCACTTCTCTGCTGCACAATATTCTGCTGTTGAGCGGAACTGTATTGCTCAATAACGGGGGTGCGGCCGATGGGACCTGAAAATTTACGCGCAGTGTCAATGGTAGGTGGTGTTGCCGGCGGGGTCTGAAGCCCATGGCGCTCAAGAGATCCCATCCCCGCAGTGTCAATGGGTCTTCCACCGGGAGGATTGCTCTGTGCTGTCCCGTTTCCTGTTGAAGATGGGTTCGGCATTTCACGTATTCCGCGCTGCGCTGTATTGGTGGGTGGAGTGCTGTAAGCCTGTACCATGGGGGCTATGATCGCACTCTTTATACGATTTCTGAGAAGTCCACAGCAAGGCACGATTGCCTTGCCACATTCAACCACGCGGCTTCTGAAGGACACCTCCACTGCGTGTCATGAATCGCGATGACTCGACCTAAACACCTACCCATGGCGTGTTTTTCGTACAGGAATCACTAAGCTACAGATGTCACTATGGAGATATAATGGGCCAAAGCGCCACACATGTGGGGTACGAAGGTATTCCATCCACAGAGATGCGTCGAATGATATTCAATAGCTAGTACTCGACGCCGCCCCCGCGTCATTCGAGGAGTAAGCTGCAGATGAGTCACCGTACGAGGTTCCTGGATCATATGAAGGAGCCACATCATTCCAGGCGGGCGAAGGGTCATATGAGGACGATCCTGCGTCGGCCCTATTGTTTCCTGCACTGGAAGGATCACCAGGGGAGGGTTGAGTATCCCCACCGCACGCGTCCCTGTTCTCCGGCCCCCCGGGATTGCATCCAACATCGCCTACCGATGGAAAGGCGCTGCAGCATGGATCGGGGGAAATTGAGAAGGGCGAATAGATGTCTGGCGAGGACGCCGACATTGTACTGAGCACCGCGCTAGTGAGCGACGCGTCCGTGGTGGGAGCGGGCTTGCGGTGCACGCGGGGTACCGCCGGAGGTGCACAATGCACATCCAAGGTCTTTCCAGCCCCCGTGGATGGATTCGAGGTTCGGCCACTGGTGCCGGAGCGAGAGGAGGATGCATTTTCTTCAGTGCACTTTGGCTTCTGCGTGGTGGGAGTGGAGGGTGGCACATCCGAGGGGTGTTCTTCAACAGTCGTGAGCACACGGTGCAGCTGATGGGGTGCCGGCGCGGTCTCAGGTTGCTCGCCAGCGGAGATGGGATCAGCCTCGGGCGTAGCGGGGAGGTGTTGCTTCTCCGCGTCGGGTTCGCGGCGTGTTCGGCGGCCACAGCAGAAAGTCATGCTGGTTTTTCTGTTTGAGAGTGGGCTGAGGAGGATGTGGTGGGACCAGCGACTGTGTGCAAGATAAGCGCTTAATCATCCGTACATTTTATAGTCGGATTTTCGGGCGCTTCTGTGGCCACATTCACAATAGATATAAATGATCCTAACATCCGCTCGTCAAGCGGCCTTGTATTGCGATTTCATTTTACAACAGAATGTGGTTGCGAGGACAACAACACGACAATAAGTCCTGCATTAGATGACCTTCGGAAAATAAGCATCGGCGGCGAAAGATTTAGAGTTGCTTGCACCTGCCATAGCTCCAAGTAATAAATTGGGCGGAAGAGATGTGAATGGTGATATGTGAATGATGAGGGGAGTTGTAATTACCTCCATCGAAGAAAAACGGAACCCCAGAAGACTAGGCCCTCGGGAGGATTCGAACCTCCGCGCTCCTCGTGAATTCTCTCATCCACCCGGGATGAGGGTAAATTCTTCGGCATGGACCTGCCACCTGTCAGCGACGGCTACTTTTGGGAGACATGGATTGTGCTCATGTGGTAGGAGATTGGCGGATGATACCAGTAGCTTAGCGCTCGAAGTTCACCGGGCACCATAGCAGTGGGCTGAATCTGTAGGAAGGATCATGTCGAACGGGCGAGTTGGTAATGGGAGTAAGGAGACTCACAAAATCTACTGATGGGCACACTGGGCCTCACTGACTTGGATTCTGACGATAAGTCCACTTATGATACAGAGATCTCGACTGCGTGTAGCCACCAGCGGTGCGAATGGGGAGGAGGAGAAGCCGGGCATGAAAACTGGGGGGGTGAGACCCCGGCGATCCATACGGGAATACGTAAGAGAATATCGGGAGCCAGAGCCGGGAGAGGCACGAAAAACTCGCCTACTCCTCTGCAGCCGGCACAGCGTGCCCGTGGGCACGCAAAATGGCGCGCTCAAGAAACTCGGGATCCACGGCAGTTCCAGCACGCTCGCACTGAGTGGCTCGGAGTTGCAAAGTGATGATGGGAGCCACGGAAGTGCCAGCACTGCGCATCGAGCGGTTGGACTCGGATGGGGTGGCTGCGGATTTCTCGAAAGCCACTCTTCGAAGCTCGGGACTCGAAGTAGAAAAAAAAGTAACATTGTTTGCAAAAAGCTAACCACCGGCGTATACCGTCGGGAGGACTCGAACCTCCGCGCTTCTCGTGAATTTCCGCGGCTTCGGACGATCTATTCTTCGAGGCGGACCTGCCACTGGTCAGCGACGGCTTCTCTGCTGTGGGGATAGTCAGCTTGTAAATTCCTGTGGATGCGAGGATGGCTGGATACATACTGTGAGTGCTTGAAGGTTTGCTACTGCGCCGCACTTTGTCCGCGAGGGATACAGACTTCCATCGGGAGACAGACACGTCGTAAATTTAAGAAAGCGCATCCGGGTGATATCCACACGAAAGTGAGTTCTCAAAATCGATATTCTCGGTTTACGGGCTCACCACTTACTCCTCATTTTATTTCCACTTTCAAGAACACGGTGGCCCCGATAGCACTGAGGAAATCTGCTGTAAAAAAACAGAGTTTGAGCGTTCTCACAACCCGTTGCGAACTCAGAAACAAAAACGAAAGGCGGATGATAACGCATGCCGACGGGAGGAATTGAACCTCCGTAACTCCCATAAGCATTTTTCCATTATTCAGCAGATAACGGGAGGGGCCTGCCACTGGCCAACGACGGCTTTCCGAATAGGAATGGGTGCGCATGTACGAGGGTAGACTACTCTGGCCTTGGGAGACAATGCGGGACGGAGACTACGCCGCGTGAATGTAAATCGCTCACTATGCGAGCCCAATAAGAGAACGGAAGAGAATTGGAGAGGTAAACCGAAACGACTGACCGTGATCCGATCAGTAGAGATGGCGATTGCGCCGGTAAGATTCATGCGCATATACGTAAATGTCCGCGCATCGTTTCTAAATTCCTTTTCGGGGAAGCCCTTCAACTCGTGATTCGGGGGGGATTGAACTCACCAAGGATGGTTGGAGGTAAAGGTTCACGCGCAAGTAGGGAAGAGGGTCGCGTGAGGCGGAAGATTTCGCAGATCGGAATCGGATACGCGTGCAAAGAACGGGGCGGAGGCGTGAAGAAACTATTGAATGTGCTTGATGTAGTGACGTTTAGCGGGGAAGAGCACCGCTAGATTCCGTCCAGGGAGGGTTCGAGCGAGCCAGTGGCGTTGGAGCGGTGCGTTAGTCGGTGAGATCGGGAATGCTGAGTTCGGCATGCGGGATCAGGCCAGCGCGCGTCAGTGGATGGAAGTCTTGCCTTGCCTGTATGAACCTTGTCCCGGTGAGTAGGAGTAGCGCTGGGCAGAGAAAGGACGTGGACACCTTAAGCCGTGAGGGATCTGATGGCTGTGATCGGCCAATCACGACCCTCGGATCACACGGCCATCAAAGCCCAGCACGCGACATGCCGTTTCTTGTCCCGAATTTTCATCCTCGCGCAGCCATCTGTGATTCTGCCTCTCTTCCTCGCGCATGCCGAGATCTTGCTTTCCACTGGCATCCTGCCTTGCATCCTGGAGTTAGTCCCTGGGCGGTGGGGTTGTTGACTCTTTAGTTTCCTCCCGTTTTCCTCCCGCTTCCTCTCAGCACTCCAACGTCCCGTTTTGGTTCCGCTATCGTCTTATCACGACTAACTCACGCCTCTACACACCTCTACCAGTGCTAATCCGCAGGCGGCTCCGGGCGAAACTCTGTGACTGCGTGCTTTTGCCGCGCAAGGCCTGTAGCATGCCCGTTGTACCATGGGATTCGTCCCAATCTGATATTTGGGCGGTATTCCTTCATTCAGTCCGCCCTTCGCAGAGTTTGCACTCAATGATATTGTCTGTTGTTCTCTCCATCAACCGTGTGGAACTCAAAAATGTGGTTAAATCCATGCGAACCTGCATCGTTTGGGTCACTGTATGAAACAAAATCTGCCACTCCATCTACATCAAGGCTTTCTCATTGCGATAGCGCAGGGCCGCATCTGCACTTCTCAAGTTGTACTTTAATATGAGCTCACGCAGAAGACCCCCGTTCGACTCGGGGTCGGATCATGCATTCGATAGACGCCGCCTTTTTTATTGCTCAGATGGCTACAGGATCCCTTCGAATCGTCTGAGATTACCTTGTTCGGCTGCACGCGTCTTGGACTCTCCATCTCATACTTCCTCTCGATCCACCCCTTATAAGACCCGGTGGTAAAGACCTAATCCGCGTTCTCATCACAGATTCCGCGACAGCGGACTATGCCCCGTTCGACTCGGGGTCGGGTCATAGATAGGGAGCATACTCATTTTGACTCTCCTCCTCCATTCTAGCTTTCAACTCTCTTACTCATGCACGTTCTGATCACACATTCCGCGCAATTCAAAATACCTTCCACCCACACCTTTCACTGACGATTTTTGGACTCCATATAACGTCTCTGACAACTTGACCCGATGGTTAAGACCACATCCGCGCTCTGTACGTATTACAAGGTTGACAGCGGATGATCCCGTTCGACTCGGGGTCGAGTCATTGCTCGTGAGTTTTCCTTTCCTTTTTTTTTTCAATTTTCTCCCAATATCCTTGCCGTCCCGCTGTAGGATAATCTGCAAGGGAAGACCACATTCTGAGTAACGCCCTATAAATGATTCCCCATTTGCCTTAACCTCCAAGAACTTGACGACAGGTGCTCCGCAGTTGCACGCTCGAATTGCATGCAATACTCCAGATCAAAACATTGTATCTACCTATCAGGCCTCAAAACCGGTTACCCATCAGATAGCGGTAGTCCGGACTCCGCATCTGTGGCCAACTTTTTCGTCTGGATCCTCAGTGACCACGCTCTGAGCGATTTAAATCATGAATTGATCAACTTATCCTCGGACCGACTCGATGGCGGAAGGCCGCCTCCGCAATTTATATTGGACTCTAATTTGCTTGCAGAATGCCCCCGTTCGACTCGGGGTCCGGTTATTCATCACTTGACACAATTCTTTTCTCCTTCATTTTGTCTACGTTGTTCTTGTGGTTCTTGGTCCGCGATACTCCTCACCGATTCACTTGACAGGAATTTTATCTGCCTACATCCCGAATCAATCTATTCTCTTCACATTCTTTCTCGTGAGAAGCACGCCTTGCCGATTTGAATGCGACAAGAAGTGTGAAGAGCCGCACCCGGATATCAGACGCAGGATCTCCCTTGAGCTCTGTATCCGAGTACTTGTTGTAGCAAATGAAGAAAGAGCTTCGCCCACTTTGACATGATGTTGCACTGCAAGCCGAGCGAGGTCCGCACATGGGGTCTCAAATCTCAGAGAAAAAAAAAGTGTGATTCATGTCATTATTGCGGTTTGCATATGTATTGGCACAGCCGTGATCGGCACGTTTTCGGCACACCAAAGTAAATGATTTGTTTCTCGCTTGATAGTATTACTTGACGGATTTCCTTGAACCTATATTCTAAATTCACCGTTTTGAGAGGACAATTTCTTAGCACCAATTTTGGATCCCGATCTAAGGGTTGAAGACTTTCAGTTTCCAGCAGCCATGGAAATGGTATGTGAATTTATGCGGTGGACACCGGATGCTTCGGGCCATTTGAAAACCTAGAAAGGGTATATAAAGTATCTCTATAGGTCCCGGGGCAATCCAATAAGATTTGAGGCCAGGAGAGCTGTTCTGCCGGAAATTGACAAAACAGAAAAAAAACAGCTGCACCCTAAATTCCGCAAAGAGTTGTAATGACTCGGCCCCGAGTCAAACGGGGGAATTCTGCTTGTAACTTCTCCTTGAGCTCATGAATCGCAGATGTGGCCCACCATGTATGCTGTCTGAGGATATTCGAGGGTGGGGTACGAGACAAATATCAAGAAGTGGCTTGTCGTAAATACGTCGGAATTAGAGTGTGAGAGGCCGCGCGGCAGTCCCCGAATCAACGCCTCGTCAGTGCCGCGTCAACACCGCGTCGATGCGTGGCAGTGCTGCGACAGTGCGCGACGGTCGCGGCATTTTCACCAGACCCGTTCTGAACGGTAGGGCTAAATAGAGAAGTATAATGATTTCGACTTGCACCAAAGTCCAGCTGCAGTAACGACGGGAGAAGCCGGCCGGGAGCAATGGAACAACGTTGCTCCAGCCGCCGCTGAAAACTGGGTATCTTTAGCGGCTACCGGTGTGAATGCTGTATGGGGCCCTTCGTATTTTGTCCTTCCGCCGTGGCAGTAAAAATCGGATGAAACGGAGAATACCAGCACCGGCGGTCTGGACTGGATTGTCCAATGCAGGTCCGATGTGAACATCGAGCCAGGTAACTACGGCTTAGTGGCACAGCGTCCGTAACGCTCCTGTGGCGCCGCCACATTACTCGATCCTATCCCAAAGACGGGAGAAGATCAAGCATGTCAAATGCAAGGAGGGATGTGTTGGAGAAAAGGCATGGTCCGGTCAATTGGATCGTAAAAGATGGATGTTAACCCAACTCAATGGAGGCGCCGAATAGATAGGTCAATAGAATCCATCCGGAATTTCCCTCGCTCCATATTGTTCTTAGTTTCTCCGATACTGGCTCATCAGAATATCTGCAACGGCTGTGTTCCGTGAGTAATTTCCTCCTCCGTACTTTTGTTGCCTTCCAATTATTGCGATTTTCAAATCAAGTTGCAGTGATGTCTGGGTATTTTTCATATCGGCTTTTGAGGCGGCCCTGGATCAGCTGAAATTCCAGGTAGATTCACTGAACAATACTTCACTCCCCCCTGAATGTATATTTGAACCGGTTTGTATTTACGAGATCAAAGCCGTCGCCCTTCCCCTGGCGCTTGAATGTAAATTTGAACTGGCCCGTATTCGCAACGTTCACGTACTATGACACAATACCTGCAACTGCTGCGTTTCCTAACTAATTTTCTCCTCTTTCGTTGCCGGCCTCCAATTAGTACAGAAATACTTATTGCATTGGCAGCTGAGGCAGTCGTGGATGACGCGAGATCAGAGGAAAACTTGTTGAATAGTACTACACTCCCCGCGGCGGCAGAAGATAAATTTGAACGGGGCTGTATTTACAAGATCAATGCTCACGTATCATGTTCCAGGGACCAATTGACTCCAGTTCCAGTCGTCGAGTGCGCACAAACCCCGTCGAAGTGCTGTTAACATGCCGCACACCAACCGAACCCAGAATGCTGGTCCACGGAGAGGTGTTGATAGTATAAAGTGAGAAGGAGGCCTGAAACTATCTTAGTTAGGAGCATCTTCCCCCATGCCGCCCCGCACGACGCGCCCGCCGACGCCCGAAAGCGAGCACAGCTGGTGGTCAGACAGTAACCCTACAGGCCCAACCATCCCACTTCATGCAATGACAAAGCCATTGATTAAACTCATGTATCGTGTTCAGGGAACCTCATCCATCGTTCCACGGACGCCTCGCCCACCGACCCCGCAGAGCGCTCATAGCTGGTGGTCGGACAGCAACCGCACAGGCGCAACCATCCCCCTCCACACACTTGCCAAACCCTTGCTGAAGTTCTTGCATCATCGGAAGGCATTGGGGCTGATCAAGAAGTATCGGGGCACCCCTCTTTCGGACACGAGCATGGACATTTATTCGAGTTATCTCGGGTATGATCTCTACCCAGTCAATCATCCTGTTGCTGAAGTATACGGGCAGATACAAGTATTTGAGATTCTCGACGAAGACGGC